CTGCACTATACACAAACACCCTCTCCCATCCCCGCACTGAGAGACTGCAATTAAACAAATGGAAAAGAAGGATGAAGCTGGAGGCAAAGCACCGATCGGACAAAACACCGGGGGAAACTAGAGGGAGGACAGGCTCAATGAAAACAAAAAAATAATAACAATCACATGATATTACATAATGCCCAAATGTTCTGAGGCACATCTGTGACCTAATGAAGTTCAATATCAACAGCTGAGGTTGTGTCGGTAAAAACATCTGGCTCACAGCGAACAGGGACATTTAAGTCAGGCACTATAAGAAGAAAAGAAACTGTTGTGATATTCAGTTAACTGTTTCCGTCATGTTGTTTGGAGCAACAGTGATGTGAGGATTTGCTGCAAATTGCTTTTTTGATTTTAGGTTGTTGGTTGAACACAACAAGACACAGACTGATGACGTGGCCTTGTACTCTTCATTAGTCTGATGGGCATTTTGTTAATTGAGGAAAGAACTCGATAAATTGCTAATGAAAATAACAGGCTGCAGTCCTGATCATAGGAATCTTCCAAATGAAAAGCTGGTGTTATGTAATGAAAGAAATCAAACCCTGAAAATGAACCCCACAGCGCCCAGACAATGCTCAACTCCACGAGGTTGGATCTTGCTCTGGTGGTTTCCTCGGGTCTGGAGCCGCACAGTCTGGCCGGGCTGGGACAGAGCAGCATGCTGTGTGCTGTTTAACAACATTACAGCTCAGAATTTCAAAACCGTCTTCTTCAAATCTGTCTTAAACATTTTGAGCCACTGACATACAAAGTTGCACAGGCCAACTTTGACTAGGTTAAAATGAAAGGCTTATGACAGAACAGATGCACTTCTACTGTAATCAATACGGCTGCATAACGGTTCATGTTTCACTCAGACTCTATAGATGTAGCCACAACTCAAGAAGTATTTTTTTTCTTGTTGCTGTCTTTTGTTTCATGCACACCAGTAACACCAGTGACCGTGTAATGGGTTCTGAGTGCTGAACAAATCAATACTGTGCCTGTGTAGGCTGAAGCAGCTGCTGTGCTACTGACGTGTGTTGATGCACGTTCATTCAAATTTTCAACGAACAAACACTTGTTGTCTGAGTATCAGACATCATAACATAAAAATAAAGAAGTCTGTGTGATGATGAATTTCATTTTTAAGCAGCGTATTTGCTGCGTTAGTCAATCAGGGTGACACATACTGTAAAAGCCTTTTGGTACCTAATTTTTTGTTGTCTGTTTTGGAGCGAATACACAGACCCACACTGAAGATCCAAACTGTTAAGAGACTGTGCAGACGGTGGTGGTTATGGGCTAGCTTGCTGATTGCTGTACGGTGGCTCACAAATGCTCTTGTTCCCACAAACTGTGAGTGATCTGAAAGCAGCAGCGGACTATCCTGTGTGTATCCTGTTATTTGTGAGTAGTAACTCTGAGAGATTACTTTATACAGCTGTTGATTATTTCAGTTAAAAATGTGCACTAGCAATGTGGCTAACTAGCAGCTAAATCAATTCCTCAAGTAGACAGTAAACACATTAATAATCCAAAACAGTTGTTCGTTTGCAGAGGTCTTGGTTAACTCATGACCTTCCTCTTTTATCTGTGATTGCATGGTGTTCATCGCTCTGTAAAAATACACAGTGACAACCATATTTCAAAACACCTTTACTAATACATTGACACGAATATGAATCCACCCTCACCTGACTCGCAAACAATGGAACCCGGCTTCAGCTCCAGCATCATGGTGACGGTGGCGATATCTGTGGTGTAGAGGATCTGTGTGCGATGTGGCAGGGAGACTGTCCACAGCTCAGGTGTGGGGTGGAGCACATAGACCCACCCTTTGCTGCAGGTGACCTTCGAGCCATAACGCTGACCTATCAGATCTGTGGAATGGCGAATTGCCCCGTAGCGTGTCTGCGTCTGGGCGCCGTGCTGCACCTTGACAGGCATCATGGAGTCATGGTTCAGGTAAACGATGGCAACGTCCCCATCCTGAATGAAGTCTGAGTACTCCACAAAACTCATTATGAGCACAGTCACTCTGCAACAGGGAGGTAAATGATGGCAGGCTTTGGTTATAAACCAATCAAGAATCAGAGAAATCCATCAACAGCTAACTAAAAATAAATACTTGTTACATGGCTTTTCTTATTCAGATGTTTTACTTCAGTCATTCCTGGAACAGTCAGCTTGGAAATAAAAGACAGACATCCTCATCTATTCTTAATGCAGTACTTAAATATACAATACCAATCAAAGGTCTGGACACACTTTCCCACTCTACCAGTGTGTCCAAACCTTAGACTGGTAGTGTACTTTAATAAAAATCTATAAGATATTTTATTGAACTGAGCTTATGCCAAGCTCAGCAATGTCCTGTTGTTCCCTTTGCCTGCACAGGCGGCCATTAAAGGTATTCTACCCAACTTCTTTTCAGCCTAGAGGGTCTAGTGAGACTGAAAACAAACTAGACAGCACTCAGAGAGTGCAACCTCAGCCAAGGGCAACCCAGTTTCCCCATAATGCCATAAGAGCAATATTCCAGTGATAGTTTGACCCTCAAAATATGATTGGCTGACCACGAAAACCTCCTGCTTGCATTTGGAATGACGCAGATATCATTATAAGCTTGAAAGTTATTCAAGAAAAAGGACAGACATAACAGTCAGTCATTGGTTTAGAGGGAAACAGGGACCGCGGGTAAAATGGAGAATAAACTTTTTTTTCCACTATGACATCTACATAGAGAAACCCAGTCTTTATAACTCTGAGCTATGCAGACTCATCTCTCTAACATCATTAATGGAAATGTTAATAACTCTGACTTTATTTGCCACAGTTGATAGGTTAACAGATTCCCCATTGCAGCCACCCCGAGTTCCTGAACCCCTCATCCCACTCAGCCTGACAGAGACAACATAACCTCATCGCCACCTACAAAAACAACGGCTTGTATGTCTGAACTCATTGCAATCGGCAACATAACTCTAGAAGAAACGATGCAGCATATTATATCATTAGATATTTTGCTTACAAGCTTCTAAAAAGTGTCTTCAGCTACTTGGCAGTGGATTTGTTGTATATTGTAAATGATTCGCTCCTGTCAGGCATCTTCCCAGCATCATTAAAA